TGGAGCGAGCCGGAGCACCTCCTTCCCTTGACACCTAGAAGCGCACCGCCCTGCGCGCCCCTGTTCGCCCCTGCAGACCTCCTCTGCGGCCGGGTAGAACGTAAGGCAACTACAGCAAAAAAGGGTAGGACTGTGAATGTAACTGTTGCTAGTGTCTTACATTTCATTGGAAGTGGTATATTAAGTACATAGACGGTGGTAAGGATGCATACTGTACTCTTAAAACTAAAAATGAACGCAGAGAGATGGAGCTAAACACTCCATCTCTCCATTCCCTTCCTACTTGAGAAAGAGCTCCCTACTTCCTATTGTTTTATTTTGCTCTTTATTTAAACTTGAGCTTCTCAGGGAAGGGAAACTGCGAGGTTTAAGCTTGTGTGTCAGATTTATTTCTTAACATTATGTTCTCAAGTGCACGTACATACTTCTATACATTAAATGATTTCTAGGCGACGTATACCTTAAAAATGTAAATGTCGTGTAAAGGTTATACTATTAGAAAATGACAAGAAGGAAATGTACAGGTGCAATTATTTTTCCAAATAATTCTGATCCATGTTTGGTTGAATCATGGATGTGGAACCCACAGATATTGAGGGCTCACTGTACTGTGAATGAATTTGAGGGCAATCAAACAAGTGAAAAAGGATACAGTATTCTATTTTCATACAAGTCATATACTAGCAAAATTAAGTACAAGGGATACATACATATGTGGTCAAGTATGTATAAATACAAAAGAATCATAAACACCCTATGCAAGGTAACCATGGTTACCTCTTTAGCTCTCTCTGGGGATTGGTGTTTTTAGGTCAAACGTGGTTTCCTAAATGTTATATCATGCTTTTAATTTATATATAAGATGTGTGTAAATTGGCTCCTGCAATGTGTTCTTCCTAAGAGTAGGAATCTGTTTTCTTCAGTTTACCCTTGGTACTGACAAAAGTGCCTGGTTGGAAGCAATAATGTAGAATATCTTTAGAATGTATAAAATATTACATTGCAAAAGTGAATGGATACCTCTCCCCTAGATGTGAAAACACTTAGAAGATAAAAGTGATTTCAGCTCTGCAAATAGCAAATTGCCCTTGGCCAGATAAAATGATCCGTCCCTCCAAGTTAAATATTCTGATCCTGACAACTTATTATGAAATAATCAAGGGATAGAGAAGTAGGGCAGCAGAGTGAAGACTGACAGTTTGAATTTTAAAAGAACCACAAAGGAGAAACTCCTAAGGCCAGGTAATACTCAGGTCACTACTGAGAAATAATACTTCACTAAGGCTACAGGCAGAGGATTCTTCAAAATATTTGTTTGAGGACAAAGGCACAGCCGTGAACTCTATTCTGTGTAACTTGAAAGTTACAGCTGTGTACTGCCTGGTGATATGATCTGAATCAGTGGTGACACACAGGTTAGTTTTTCTAAGACAAAAAATGTTAACATATAAATTGTTTTTTCTAAACTGAAACCTCAGTTCATGTATTCAGGTTTAATTGCAGTGTTGACCCTTTGTGATAAGTGAGTGGGTTTTGGGTTGTTTCAGTACTCGTCTCTATAAAAGGTTCCCCGTCACTGGGAGTGTTCCCCAAAATTCCTGTCCTGAGCCACTAGGGCCACTGTGATGGTATTAAGCGGTGAGTACCTTTAGAAGCGGTGAGTACTTGTCTCTATAAAAGGTTCCCCGTCACTGGGAGTGTTCCCCAAAATTCCTGTCCTGAGCCACTAGGGCCACTGTGATGGTATTAAGCGGTGAGGCCTTCAGAATGTGATTGAGTCCCAAGGGCAAAGCCCTTTGTAAGGGATTAGAACCCTTACCAAAAGGCCCCAGTGAGTTCAGCCCTTTGGTCTCCTGCTGTGTGAGGATGTAGTAACAGCACCATTCTGAAACACAACCAACCTCCTTAGACACGACTTACTGCTGCCTTCATCTTGGGTTTTCCCAGCTTCCACAACTGCTGCCTGTAAATGACCTTGTCCTAGGTATTTTGTAATTGCAACACAAATGGATCAAAACTGGTATTTAATCTAACCTGATAGAACCTGTTCTATCCTGCTGTGGCCAGTTTCTGCAATAATAAACAGACCTCAACTTTCTTAACCATGATTTATCTCTGTAGATGAAATGTCATAAGGGCTTTCCCAGTTGTTTGGCTTAATCTCATTCTCATCCTTTTCCCATCTGGACTAAGGCTTAATGTGTTTCCATCAAGTATTATGAGACTCTTATCAGACAGATGAAGGTATCTTCCCTAGATTGGAAGGCTGACATAAGCACCTGGTGGTCATGGATGCGTCTCTGCATACTGCTGGTCTACCTTCCAAGCTATACCGAGCCTCTGTATTCACTGGTAGCCATACCGGTCCTCCCTGCATATGGTTCTGTACAGCGCTCTAGAGCCTACACTAACCCTTTACTCAAGTGACATACCATTTTCCAAAGGGAAAGACAGAGGCATACGTATGAAAATTCTGCTTGGTATAAAAATTGTGGAAGATAAAGATCAAGACCCCAGAAGGGGCTTCTGCTGCAGACAGTGGTGAGGAAGGCAGCTGGCTCTGTGCCCTTCTTTCAGCCTGCAGGCCAGCTCTGGCTCCCTGGCCAATGTGCTTGAGCTGGCTGGGCCTGCACTAGGCCTGGGTCGTGAGCAGAGCTCTGACGAATCAACTCAGGCAAGAAGGGAGGGCCTCAGGAGCAAGGTCCCACTTCCTCCCCAGAGACACGTAGACACACCTTCCAAACACGGCTTGGCGTATGTCATTGTACTGTGCAAGTCTCAAATACCTGCCATCGACACCAAGACAGTTCTCAAGCATTTTATTACAGAAAAGAACAATCAGAAAGCTTACACATTAATATGTACAAGATATTCAAAATATATTACAGCTTTAATTTATGGACAGAAATATCCTGTTTTTTCTTTTTTTTCTTTGCTGTTTTTTTTGCATCATTGATTTGCATTTTTACTTGATCTTGTAACTTAGAAAAGAATGCTTGAGATGACTTCAGGGCCTTGTCCCTTCCTTCATCCTGCAGATAAAAATAATACATGCTCATGTTACAAAATGTACCTAAGTGAAGAAAAGCCTAACAGTATACATCATTTTGCATTTGTAATATAAATGTGAGAAAAGACTAGAGTTACAAAACTCTGCATCAGTTAGCATCAAGGTATTTCACACGTTCTGTGCGGCTACAACCTTCCTGCAAGTGAAGGGAGAGGAGAAAAGAAGAAAAGCAGGAACCAGCCTAGGCGACCGTGAAGAGCTCTGAGGATGCTCTGCGGCCAGCCAGCAGTGTGCATCTCCCTCTGGCGGGAGCTACCCTGAGCCCAGGCTCTCCGTCAAGGGCAGCACATGCTCCTCAAGGGCAGCCCATGCCCGCCATCTGTCGTCCCCCAAAAGCCCCCGGCAGCTTTCTCTCCTCGTCCTTACCTTTAACAAGGACGCTTTGCCAGCTTTGGTCAGCTGCTTCAACTTCTCTGAAGCTACTGCTTTGCTGTACTTCCCTGCCTGATCTGGGTTGCTCTTTTCAAGCAATTTTCTCCGCTTCTCTTTCTCCTTTATTTTCAAACGCTTTTGATATTTCTTTTTCCTCCGTTCTCGTTTCTTGTCTGTAGCTGTTTTCTCAGCAGCTGTTTTTAGATCTCCAGCCTTATTTTTCTCCTATTAAAAAAAAGAAAGCGCCAACATATCAGTTAACCTAACCTACTAGAAACTCAGGGAGCTGGACGGAGGAATCTGCATGGCAGGAGGCCAGCAGGCGGTTACGTCCATGTCCCATTGTATGGAGACAGGATAAACTCACAGGGACAGTTCAGTCCCCAAACCAATCCAAAGGCGGCATGGACCGCTAGGTTCCGAGCTCACAGTTCTAGTGACACAGCCCACTGTGACAATCAGACTCAGGAGCAGGCTCCAGGGATGTTGCAGAGGCTATCTCAGCTCTACACTAGTGAAACCCCCAGGGCTGAGGTCAGGGGCTCCCAGAGACCCAAGAATAGAGAGAGGGGTGGGAAAGGATCGATCTCCCCTTTGCTCCTCACCTGCCGACCCATCACCAGGCCTCCTCAGGCCTCACCAGACCTGTCACAGGCAGAGGTGGCAATCTGACAAGCGCTGGCTGCAGTGTAGGAAAGCAAGTAAGAGGAAAGGGGATGGCCTGCTGCCCAGCCAGCCCAGGAAGACAGGGCCAGCGTCGCTATGAAGGCACACGCTTCATCACAGCTGCATCTGCTGAATCCAAGTTCTTCCAGCACCCCAATGCTCTGTTCTACTCTAGATTTCTTTGCAGGTAAGTGTCACACAGATGAAATACGAACGAAAATGCTGATGTGAAGTACTGCCAGTATATGACAATATAAACCATTTTTTTAAACATCACTGCTGATATTCACGTTGGATGAAAACAATAATTGGAAACTACTGAAAAATTGTTAAAATACTCATAGCTGCAACTCATGATGCTTGCGTATAGGAGACTATTTTATTTTGAGGCACGGTCTCAGTAAGTTGCTAAATTGTCCAGGTGGGCTTGCTTTTGTGATCTTCCTGCCTCAGCCTCTCAGACTGCTAGCATTATAGGCATATGCCACAATGCCCAGCTAGGAGACAGGTTTTTCAGTATTGCAACATTATTGGTTTGATTAGTCATCTGACGGCATTCACAGGGGACTGGTTCCAGCATCCCTGAACTTCTCACACACTCAAGTTCCTTATATAAGGGTGTATGTGCACACAACCTACAAATAGGTTCCCATATACTTTAAATCACCTCTAGACAATCTGTAACATCTAACACAATGTAAATGTTAGGCAAACAGTTGTTATACGTATTATTTAGGGAATAATGACAAAAAAGTCTGTATATATTCAGTGTGTAATCTGAATATTGCCTATCCGTGGTCAGGTGAATCCTGGGTCAGACAGAACTCAGAGACATGGAGGGCTGACTGTACTGAGAGGCTGCTGAGATACATCAGAATAAAAACTACAAACTCAAGGAAAATAGTACCACATAAATGGAGGCCCAGTTACCGTGAACTGACATGTAGGCAGACACTCACCTTGATCTCCTCAGGGGCTAGGAGGGCCGCATCACTGGCACTCACGGGGGCCACCTCCTCCATGGTTATTGCTGGCAGATTTGACACCACTTTAATCTCTGGCACTGGCTACAGGAGACAGTGCATTTAAAGGCAAGTCAGAAGTGGTCTCAACACACAAGATAAAAATACTTCATGGAAATTACTGCACTTATTTCTGCACTTGTACAGGACAGTTCTGACTCAAAACACCAATTCTTTCATCTGTACTGATTTATTCCCACCTGCCATGTACATGGACAGTCTCAATTCTATCTACTATTTAATAAAATATACTGATTACTGTTAATATTATCTTGTCTTTGGTTATGGAACATATAATAAACATAGGGGAAATGAAATGGAGGGAGATGAATGAGGGGAGATGGAGGAAATGGAGGGGAAATGGAGGGAAATGAATGGAGGGAGATGAAAAGAAAATGCTATATGTTAATAAACATATGGAGGGAGATGAAAAGAAAATGCTTTGGGAATAAGGAAAAATACAGACTACTTGATAATGTTTTCTTATCTTTCAGTTACTGAAAATGTGTTTTTATAAACACAAATACGAAATGGTAACAGACTCAAACATCATCAAAATAATTAAACCTATTGATCTTAAAGTAGAGAAAAGAATGTAAGACCAATTGGAGAGCCTTTTTTTTTTTTGCTTCTATGTCTGAAAGACCTGGCCAAGAAATGCCAAAATTAAAACAGGTTTGACACTACTCACAGTAATAAAAGGACAATGGCAATTATTTATGGCACACTTGCACTGGTATTCTTTCTTTCTAATTCTCAAAATTCCCTGTCGGGGCACCGAGGGACAGAGGGCAAGGGACAATGACTTTAGACCCCTTTGTTGCCAGACACAGGGAAAGGATGAGGCCTGGGAGGCTGGGGCTGCAGGGAGAGACACGGCTGACTCCTCTGCCCACTCGGCTCCGATCACAGTCTGTGCTGCACATTCCAGCTAACGGGGCGGCAATCACCTCAACTCCACCACAAAGAAAAAGAAAGCCCAAAACACGATGGCACCCTGGGCCCTAAGTAACAAAAAATGTCAGTGTGAAAAAAAACATCTCTTCCACAGGATCACTGGTCAGTTATTCATGAGGAACACTGTGCCTCATTGTACAATTTAAAGAGAAACACGTAGCAAATGGAGACAGCCCCAAAACAACAACAAAAACAGGCTGATGAGCTGGTGTGTATAACACCGACCTAAACAGCAAAAGAAGAATAAGAGGGAATCTATAATGGCAATTTACATTTCTCAAGAGGAAAAGGTAAAAAAACCCCAGCTTTTCCAATCGAGACCAGCAGACACAAACACCTTTTCCAATCGAGACCAGCAGACACAGACACTCCTCAAAAAGATGTCTGAGGGCTCCCCATGTCGTGAGCTGGTGTGAGCACACAGCAATGGCATGGCAGGTACATCTCAGGCTGGCTCCCAGACGACTGGGGAACAGTGAACCCTGCAAGTGTGCACTGTAGTAATGGCAGGAAGGAGCAGGGGGTCACAAAGGCGGGAGGCGCACTAGACCGGTCTCCAGAAAGGGCCAGGAATAAGGAGTCGGCTAGCAAAGAAGGGAGAGTAGCTCAGTGGGGCGGGGCAAGAGCACCTCAAGAAAGTGCTGCGGGGTGGAAGGACCTCAGCCTGCTGAAGGAACTGGAAGACCAATGTGGCTGGGGTAGCAAACTAAGAAGCCAAACAGGCTTAGGAGGTAGGAGCCTGGGCCCAGTACTACTTATTTTAACTCCCCTATGTCCTAAGCTGCCATTCGCAAATGAAAGCGTTATACCTGCTTCAGTGTTTTGTTCAAGCTCAGCCTGGGCAATTTAGTGACTTAGCAGGCTCCTGTCTCTAAAAATAAAAAAGGGGATGTAGTTCAGTGTGAAGGCCCTGGGTTCAATATTGCCCTCTCCAAGAAAGATGAATGTGTGATTAGCTAGGCATCATCATGCACCCTTGCAGTCCCCGCTACTAGGGAGGCTGAGCCAAGAGGGTAACTTGAGTGCAGGGAACACAGGGTCTCAAAGAAAACTCAAAAACAAAACAGCACAATGTATGTAAAAGACCAAATATGGTATATAGTAGGCACTTTGTGTCCATCCCCATTACACAATGAAAACGCAAGTGGGGGCTGCAGGGCAGCCCCTGCGGCTAAGGGTCACCCAGAGGATCACTGGAGATCAGGCTGGGTCAACAGGCATAGCCAGCATCACCAAGGAACTGGAAGTGAGTATTCCTCATGGGAGTTCCGCCTGTAATTCTCAGGGAATTACCAGGGGTTCATACCTGAAATGAAACTATAGCTAGTCTCACGGGAGCTCAGTGATTAAAGGCACAGCTGCTCTATTCACTTACCGCTTAACACACTTACCGGCTTGGGGATGAAGTGGAAGTTGGACAGCGCATCTAACTTTAAGAACAGAGAATCCATCATCTTCTGAATTTCTACATGCTCTGGATTTTCTTCTTCCGCCGTTTTTTGCTTAAGAAATGAGTTCAACAACGTCACACAAGGGGGCTCAATATCTATAGCACAGATAAAACACTACACCCAAAGAAGGTATTCGCAGTTTCTCAGCACCAGGGCTTTAAACAAAGAAACATTGGAAGGGCAAAAGTAAAGGTATCAGCACCATGACGCTGCTAGCACCCACCAAGGAGAAGATGGGATGTGTGTTTTAGAAGCCACGGTTAACTACTACCTGACATTTAGAACTTCTAATTTAATTCCCTCTGTGTTTACTTCTGTCAAGAACTAAGCCACTCTCAGTAAGATGGCTGCAATTCTTTTGAAAAGGAAAAACAAGTGTTAGTGAGGGGGTAGAGAGATTGGAATCCGCTGCACTGTGCGCAGGAAAGTCAAATGGTGTAGGGTAGTGACAGCAAGTTTGGCAGTTCCTCAAAAGGTTCAACAGCAGTAGCATTCCTGCCGTAGACATATATGCAAGAGAATCACACACAGGTAGTCAAATACATGTGTAATACCCAAGGGCCAGAGAAAGCCCAAATGCCCATCAGTGGAAGAGTGAATAAACAAATTGTGGCACATATATATATACACATACACACACACACAGTATTACCTAGTTATACAAAAGGAAGCATTGATGCATGCCACAATCAAAAATACTACACTACATAAAAAAAATGACATCCCATATGACTCCATTCACATGAAATAGCCAAAACAGGTAAATCCAAAGCTAGGATGCAGTGTCTGGAAGCTCGGGCAAGGGAAGAATGGGGAGCAACTGCCTAACAGCGCGGGCTTTTGAGGGGGTAAAATGTCTTGGGACTACACAGAGGCAGTACTTGCACAGCACTGTATTAAATACTCCTGACTTACATGAAAATGGTTAATTTTATGTTATATGCATATCACGTCAATAAGGGAAAGAAAAGTGTCCATGTAGACTTCAGGTAATGATCCAAACATCCAGGCACTTTTTTTCTTCTTTTATTTATACATCACTTGTTTAAAATTTGCTTTGAAGAATCCCATTGAAAGACTGGCAGGAGTTTTAATTCTACTAAGGAGGAAAGGTAAACGCCGTTTCATCCTTTTTCCCCCAGCCCCATAGGCTAAGCTAATTTTTTGCTTGCTAGTTTTTTTTTTTTTTTTTTTGAATGACAAGGTGGGAAATAAAAACAGAACCAGGAAGGATGAGCTCCATCTCCAAGACACCAGAGATATATGCACGGATCTGTTTCTGATGTCTGCTATCAGCACCCACGGGCCAGCCATGTCTGGGCACCATACTGCTACTGCTTCTTACAATTATAACCTTTTTTAAAAAATCCCTTGACACAGTGTGGATGGTGTGTGCCTACTCCCAGCTATATGAGAGGCTGAGGCAAGAGGATCCCTTGAGCCCAGAAGTTTAAGACCATCCTGGTCAACACAGCAAGGCCTGTCTCAAAACAAAAACAAAACCACAAAAACCACCCTGAACATAACCTTTCACCTCATCCTAGGCAGTAGCATTTGTGAAATCATGTATTTGATATGATTTTTCTGATCCATGTTACATATGCAATTATGAGGTCATTCGTGTTGTCTACCATCACTTTGCTTACTTCCTCTAGTACAGGTACCAATGGCACATGCCTGTAATCCTAGCATTCAGGAAGGTGAGGCAAGAGGACTGCTGCAAGTTCAAGGACAGCCTGGGCTACAAAGTGAACTCAAGGCCAGCCTGAATTACACAGTGAGACCTTGTCTCAAAAAACAATCAAACTTCAGGAGATACTGATCATCATCCCCATGCCCTACTTCAAAATGGAATGGGTCTACAATTAGTCAAGCTAATTAATATACCAGAATTCCAAGTCCATAACCCAAATCTCAAGTGGTTGTTGGCTTCTAAGAAAGAACTAAGACTACTCTTACAGAACTGGCATGAACTGTTGGATTACCTCTCATGGTTAATACTTTTCCCATTTTCTGAGTCTCTTGTAAGCAGCAGATGTTCAATAATCTCTGACTGATGCTACCTACATCACCCTTCAGCTATTACCCTGGGAGACAAGGCAGCCAGGAAGAATTTTAACTCAGGTGTTTCTAGTTCTTCCACGTCACAGTCGCACCAGGGCAGTGTTTGTGGTGGCTGCTTAAGTAGTATTATTATTTAAACTAGAATAGAAACCTTGCATGGCTTTGCAAAATACAAATCCCTCTAATTCCTAGGCACATATTGACCATATTACCAATAAATCCAATATAAAGGAGCAATTTAATACTTAATCTTCTCATTCTACTCTTTGGCCAGAGATTACTTCTAACGTCTAAAAGTAAGGATGAACTCACAATCACACAAAATACATCAATAACTTCAAAATACCAGTGAGAAATTATTTCAAAATTATAGCACTACAGAGTAATATCTAGAAAGTCAAGAGCCGGCTGTGCAAGGATAAGGTGTCCAAGGCTTGCCAGACACCCCCACTCCCTGGCCTTCAGCGGGAACAGCAGGACCTCCATGCCTAGCATGCTCTGTCTCACACCTCCCTGAAGTGCCCAAAGAGCTCAAGACTGGTCTCAGGATTTCAACAGTCACAAAAAGCCTGCTCTCCAGATTCCTTTCACAGTAACAGCTTTGCCTACAGGCCTCCTTACCTGGTTGAGTTTCATGTATTCCTGCTCGTAAATTTCAGCAAGGCTCAATTTACTCTTCTCGTGGTCTAATGTTAAACGCTTTTTGTACTCATATGCATCCTCTTTAGGTTTTTCTTTCCGTACTACATCGTCCCAAGCCTGCAGTAAAAATGGTGGCAGAACACAAGTTAATAAAAGTAGTAATTTATTCTGGGCCCAAGTAAGTACTGCAGCAAAAAGCAATCTTCAACTTCAGAAATGATTATTCCAGTCTCAAACAATAAGCATTAGGAAAATCCAAGGGGGCATTAACTCAAACATCCCGCTCTGCTTTTGTATCAAATGTCCTTTTCCCGGTTACCAACTTTGATTCCGCATTTCCTCACTGTGCTTTATTTAAAAGTCTTACCTTTATTTTCTGTCATTTCAAATTTTAAGCTATTCTGTATACAGTACCTCCCTGCTCTAGGCTCCACTGCTTCATAGACACAAATATGTAGACAACTATTCCACACAAATTTCAAAGCCATTTCTTAGCATGCATGCCATACACTTAAATTTTATTCCAAGTTAGCAATCCCCCCGCCTCAGCCTTCAGAGTAGCTGGGATTACAAGCGCACATGACTGTGCCAGGCTCCTCCATCTAGCCTTCAGGCTTTTAAATGAGCAACGTGGCGAAGCGGAAATGAGAAGAACACTACCCCTACTCCCTGCATACACGCATACTTCTAAAACTTCCAGCGAAACTTCAGTGCAGTTTCACTCTTGCTGACCTGATCTCTTATCCTCTGCTTAATCATGTCCTCTAGTTGGAAGGTGGTTTCCTCTGTGATCACAGGTGCTGAAAGAAACGTAACACGCACTGATTAGGAAAGTACACTCAAAACTCCGAGCCTCACAGCGTTCTGGGATGCGCAGCATCAGCAACACCTTAAAACTTACTGGAAATGAAAGCTCTGGGGCCAACCCCACGATCCCTGAATTAGAACACAGGGGAAGGAGCTGTTTGTGCCAGTGTGCTTTCTGACATTCCCTCAAGTCTGAGAGTCATAAAACTGGAACACAGACCGTGTCAACTGCTAACGTTTCTACTCCATGCACCTGGAGACTGTTTCCCGTCTTTTCCATTCTCTCTTTCACTGAAATAAAATGCAAACTCATTTGGACTTAATGGGCTTAAGACAAATTTTATGACATGACTAGGGTTTTGGGCTGAAGTTCACAATAAGATCAGGGGACGGTAACAGGTCAACACTTGCAAACAGAAGACTGAGCCTCAGTGTAGTGGTCCACGCCTGCAATCCCAGTACTCTGGGAGGCTAAGGAAGGAGGAGCATAAGTTTGAGCCTAGCCTGGGAAACTTAGCAACTTAGAGACCCTGTGGAAAAATACAAAAGGTAAAAAAAGAATTAAGGATGGGATGTAACTCGGCGCAAAGACCTTGGGTTCAATCCCCAATACTATTAAAAACAAAAGCAAAAATCAAAGAAATCTGATTATGGACTATATATACAGATAGGACTCATTAGTGTGTCAATTTCTTGAATATGTTACCGCTATTATGGTTCTCAGGAGATACACACAAATGTGCTTAGCAGTCAAGCGCTAACACACCGGCAACTTCGCAACGATTCAGGGGGAAAATCAGACACATGCAAAAGCACACATATGCACGGGATGCCAAAATGTTAACAACTGGTGAATGCAGCTAAACAAAACACACATCTACTGTTTTTTCAATTTTTTTTACATGTTTGCAAGTTTTTAAAATAAAAAGTTAGGGAAAGAAATATCACCCAAAATTTGTAAAGTGGAAGCACCAAAAAACCACAGAGATGAAGACTTTGCAGAAGCCCAGTGGGAACCGTACCCATCCGGACGGCATGGTCAAAGTGCAGGGTCTCTTCCAGGAGACTGTTCTCTGGCCGCTTCTGCGCCGTCACTTCCCCTTGAAGCTGCCAAGGCTTTTTTTCCAGTAACTCTTTCTCTAAAGATGCAATTTTTTCATTCATCTAAGGAACAGATGAAAGAGTTCTACATTTACGTAGGAAATAAATTTAGACTTTTACTTGTGTAAAAACGGTACTTTAAAAAGTGGGAGAACAAGAAATGTATTATTTCTCAATGCAGATTTTTTTTTTCTTGCCACCATTTCATTATACCAATCACTTCTACCTGAGGTAGGGTGAGCTGCAGACAACCTCCCCACTGTTTTGAAGGGCTGTGTTTATACGGTAGTAAACTCCCCCAGAAGCATCTGGGTATATTTCTGGGCTCTATCCTATTCATATGATCTATCTATTCTAAATCATTGTTAATTTTCATTATAAGAGCATTCTGAAGTTAGAATACCGAATGAATCATAAGAATGAGGTCAATAAGGTTGTGTGGCATTATTTTCTCATTGTACTACTTTGGATTTTTGTATTCGTGATTCTGGTTACAAACCAAATTGGAAGAGAACTGAATCAAATGCAATGGTTAGGGTCAATGTTGACCTTATGGGGAAATTTGATTCAGTTTTCATTTCATTTGGTTTGTGACAGAACCATGAAAAGAATTAAGTTTGTGACTCACTGAAAGAGAAATTAGGGAAACAACACCCTTCACAATAGCGTCCCCCCAAAATGAAATACTTAAGAATCAATCTAAAAAAGGAAAAAGAAGTTCTCTATATTGAAAATTATAGTACACTGGAAAAGGAGATAGAAAAGGATATCAGAAAATGGAAAGCTATCCCTTGCTCATGAATAGGATCAACAAACATTGAGAAAATGGCCAGGACTCCAAAACTGTTACATAGATCTAATGCAATCCTGATCAAAATACCATTAGCATACCTCACAGATCTAGAGAAAACATTCCTAAAATTCATTTCAAAACAGAAGAGACCTAGAATAGCAAAGGCAACCCTGGGCAACAAAGGAAACACACAAGGCTTCACAATCCCTGACTTGAAATTATACTACAAACTACTGTGACAAAATCAGCAAGGTACTGGCAAAAGAAAGACCTGAGGATCAGTAGAACAGTTGAGAACACGCACACACAACTACAAACACATTCAGCCACCTTATCTTTGACAAAGGGGCCAAACATTTTCACTTGAAGAAAGACATCCTCTTCGATAAATTATGCTGGAAAAACTGGCTTTTCACATGCCAAGACTAAATCTAGACCCATGTCTATCACCATGTACTAAAGTCAAAATGGATCAAAGATCTAAATATTAAAACAGAAACACTAAATCTACCAGAAGAAAAAGTAGGCAGAAATTTGAAGACTTAGGGCTAAGCAGAGTTCATGAACAAAAACCAAACTGCACAGGAAGTACTTAAGAGAATCAACAACTGAGATCTCATTAAAAAATTTCTGCATATGAGAAGAAATCACGAGCAGAAAAGAAAACACATAGTGGGAAAACATTTTGGCCAACTGTCCCTCAGACAAAGGATTTCTATCCAGAACATATAAAGAACTGAAAAAAATCAGCCCCCCCCCCAAATGAAAGATCCAATAAAAACATGGGCATCTGAGATGAATACACCTTTCTCAGATGAAGAAATACAAATGGTAAATATATGAAAAAAATCTTCAACATCTTTGGTCTTTCGTGCAATGGAAATTAAAACAACAGTGAGACTTCATCTCACCCCAGAAAGAATGGCTATCATCAAGAAATCAGTAACAAATGCTGGTGGAGCTATGGTGGGGGGAAAGGAACCCTTCTCCACTGCTGGTGGGAGTGTGTACAACCACTGTGGAAATCAGTGTGGAGATTCCTCAAAAAACTAGGATTAGAGGTCCCATTTGACCTAGCTATTCCCTTTCTGGGTATTTTCCAGAAGAACTGAAAACACCATACCACAGTAATATATGTGCACCCATGTTTACAGCAGCACAATCTGTCATAGCTAAATACTGGAAACAACTTGAACGTCCATCAACTGAGAAATAGATAAAAAAGATGGTATTTTTATACAACAGAATACTACTCAGCTATAAAGAAGGATAAACTTGAGGCTTTTATAGGTAACTGGATGCAACCTGAGACCGTACTCATAAGTGAAATAAATCAGACTCACATATGTAAACACTATATTGTCTCCCTAATGTAAAAAACTGCAAGAGTAAATAAGGACCAAAATGTATAATAAATATTGTACATTTGTACAAGAAACTGCTCAAAAGGAAAGAACAACTAGGATGGGGAAAAGGAGAAAAGCAGGAAGGGAAAAGAAAAAAATACACACACACACACACACACACACACACACGAAAGCTAAGATCACTGAAAACTAAGATAAATAAATATACTAATTTCTATTAGTTCATTAAAAAGAACAGTTTGTGCTTATATTAAGTTTGTGAATCAAGGCACCACTGTATTCATAAATTGAGACTGTGTATGTGCATTCATATATGTAAATGTCTACTTTAATGTCATCTTTGTCAGGTTTTGTTTCGTGGTTCTGGGAACTGAACCCAGGGCCTTCACACTGAACTACATCCCCAGCCCTTTCATTTTGAAACAGGGTGTCACTAAGATGCACAAGATGGGCCTGAATTTGTGATCTACCTGCCTCAGCCTCCCACCATGTAGCAATTAAAATGCACTTACCACTGTACTTCATCTATTTCCTGAGGGCTTAACAGAACTCCAACATAAAATCAAACCTTCTTTCTTTTTGGGTGGAGGTGGGAAGAATGAGGTAGAACAATTGGACACTAACACATTACAAATTTACGTTGCTTTATGGTATTTCTACTTTAGACTTTCTGTTCTGGGGACAATCATGGATTTAATCCAGATTCTAAAACTTATTCATAATTCTTTTGCTATCTTGTTATCTTTCATTATCTATCCATTCTCATTATAGTATAATTTTAAAGTGGATAAATGATCAAAGCCAAACTACATCTGTTAAAATTAGATTACACCTGTTGAGCATGGTGGCACACACTTACAATCCTAGCACTCTGGAAGGATGAAGCAGGAAGATCACAAATTCAAGTGAAGCCTGGAGAACTAAGGAAGACCCTACCTCAAAAAAAAGGGCTTGAGGGTGTAGCACAGTGAGAAGACTGAAAGTTCATTCCCTAGTACCACAAAAACTAAAAAGTACAAATAATAAAATAGTGACAGTTCATCTGCCTGTGTTCCTAACTAAAAGCTATGGGCTAGAAAATGCGGTGCTAACTTTTACAAATTAGATGCCTTCAGCATGACATCTAACTATAGTATACTAAAGAATATAGCTGCAAAATTTTTGTTTCTGAAGTCCAGCTAGGACTTCCAGCTGGTAAATTAGAATAGTTAGTCTGTGAGTACCACAGTCATAGTAAGCATATAAACCTTAAACTCTCAATAATTACCTTCTCTTGTCTTTTTTCAAAAGAGGATTTAATTTCATCAGCATGTAACACATCTGTATCTTTATTTTCCTCATCATATGGCAAAGCAAAAGTCACTCTTTTTGAGCCTTCTTTATGTTGTTTACCATCTTCACTTTCTTCAAGGTCATTATCTTCATCCCTAAAATACCAAAATGCTTATCAAAAAAACGAAAACATCACTTTCCATTAGGCCATTAAATTATTAAAGAGCAGAAGGATTTAAGTGAAATGCTATTTAAAAAATAGAACAAAAATGCCCAATGCACACAAATAAATTACTTCATCAATCTCTAATAAAAACTTAATTCACAAAAATAACATTAGATTTATATTGGCACAAAACCCAAATCAAAGCACCACCCTTATAATAAAGCCTTGGTTGCTACTTCCAGGGGTATTTTTCTTTTATCAAATGATTGCTAATGTCCCTTAAATTCAGGGGCTTGTTTTTTGGCTACCCTGAAATTATGTTATATTAGAGAATGCACTTTTGATCTTTAAAGAGAAGCACATTTGATAACTATGAGTAAACCCTGCCTGACTAGGTAATTCCAACTTACAATGAGGATTCAAAACACTCACGTTTCTGAAATGCTTTCTTCAGCTGCTTCTTCTTCAGCAATTTCTTCCTCTTCTTTGTCTGAACCCAGCTCATCATCATGAACATTTGACATGTCTTCATCACTCTCAATTGGATCAAAGAAATCTTTGTATTTCAGATTTCTGGAACTTTTTCCTGACTGAAATAAAAAGATGTAAGAAACATTTAAGTGTAAGAAAATGTATAAAAACATGTACATGTACTACACAAATATGTATATATTTATAAATATGTATATATACACACACACATAATATTTTCTAACTTTAACAATACTAGCTAATTATAACTATGGGGGAAGTAGCAACTAATAACATTACCACAAAACCATAAAAACTGGAACATAAACTAAATCAAGTTTGGATCCATTTATAACTGATAAAATAAAAGCACAATATTCTATTATGTCTAAAATCTTCTAACTACAATTATTTCTAAAATAACCCAGCCTAAACAAAGTATTAAAGGCCTTCCACTCACAATTATTTTTAGTGTTTGGTGAAAACTCTGATATCTCTTAACAAATGATTATAGCTTTCTCTCTTCTCATCTCCCAAACCTTACCTTAAGTTTCTGATTTTCAAATAGTCCTCCATCGTCATCAGAATCAATGTCTTCAAAAAAGTCAATATCCTCTTCCTCCTCGTCCTCCTCTTTTTGTTCCTCTTCTTTTTCTATGGTCTCTAAAAAGGTCTCCATTTCAGATAGTTTAAAGAATTTATCATCCACTATGGACTTTTCTCTTGGTTTCCTAGGCAGTGCATTTTGAACCTTGCTCTGCTGTTCCAACTTACTGATATCAAAGTCAAGATCAGAATCTTCATCACTGAAAACTGGGCTTTCCCGCAGATCAGCTTTGCTTGAGGTTTTAGCTTTCTCACACCCTTCAGGATCATCATCACCCATGTCTGACAGTTCTTCTTCTTCTTCCACATCTTGTTTTAGGACCTCCTGACTATCAGCCTCCATCTCTGTACCACCCTCTTCATACTCCACTTCTTCATCCTCTGGGAGAAGACTGATGTCTTCATCTTTAATTGTTTCACTAACTGCGTCCTGGAAGTAGTGTAAAGTTGGTTCATTTTGCAATTCCAGTTGTTGCCAAATCTGCTCATCATCAAAATTGTTTATCACAAGTTTTTGTAAACGACTTCCAGGGATGCTACCATTCTCCACTATTTTATTAAAGTCATAGAGAACTTTCGTTAAAGAAGTGAATTTTGATGCTAATCCATCTTGAATCCTATTGAAGGAAGGGATTAAATGAGATATAGAATTATAGATAATATTCTCATAGCACTCTGATTTAAAAGAAAAATAAAAAGCCAACTGTTGCGCAAATAAAAATTTAAGTATAGATTCTGGTTCCCAATAATAATATCTTGCTGGTGAGCCATGCTGATTTTATATGAAAACTGTCAACTAATCTGAATATGCTCTATAGATTTTAGGTAGGAAAAGCATTACAGAGCCAAATGTGGTGGTGTGCCCCATTTGGGAAGTTAGGGCAGAAGGATCACATGAACTAGAAGTTCAAGACCAGCCTGGGCAAGGTAGGAAACTCCATCTCAAAAATAACACAAAGTAACTATTCTAGATCTATTTCCCAAGAGATACATAGTGAGCCAGCCTGAAATTTTCAACTCCACTACAGTATCTACCATTCCAAACATTCAACACATCGACAGTCAACATTTGCTTTGGCCAGAGTGGCTGGAAAAGTCCTCTCTGAGGATGTGATATCTGAAATGAGAACTACACATAAGGAAATTCTTTCACAAAGATCTGGAAACCGTGTTTGGGACAGAAGAAAGAACAAACCCCCTAAGATGGACATGAACTTGGTGAGCTTCAGGGACCGAAAGACCGGAACGGCTGCAATATAAAAAGCTTGCGATTTTAAAAAATGTGACAGGGAGCATAACCTGGAGAACCGTGATGTACACTCTCTCTTCCTCTCTCTAAAGCATTTGCCGGCCACATGCAACCCAGCCCTTCCAGCAACTTGGGCTGCTCTCCGAGCCCCACATCGGCGTACTCACGTGAGGAAACGCTCCGGCTGCCTAGTGGCTTGACTGATCTCTTTCAGACACCTCTCCAGGGTCCGTCGGCGCCAGACCCCCGGAGCCATCACTCTCACCAACTCCAGGAACCGCTCAGCACGCTCCGGAAGAGGGCCGTGCGGAAACCTCCCGGCAACGGCTCCCCTCTCGCTGCCTGGAGCTCAGAGCCGAAGGTTCCGCGACTCAAAGGTTCCGGAACCACCCACGATCGGAGCCAATGACAGCGCGAGAATTATCACTGGGCATGCGTATTGGGGCGGGGGCAAGCGCCTCGCACGCCTGAGAATCCCGCAGGTGGTGACTATCCTCGCGTTATATTACTGGTTTAGATACAACCAGTGTCCTCGAGAACGAGGCAGTGCGGCAGCAGAGCAGACAGC